AATTGTGACCCAGAAAAGGTACCAGACAGATGGAAACAGCTGTCCAATTTGAAATGTCAATGGTCACTGAAGAAAAAAAAAGCAACTGATATGTGGGGAAAAACTGTATCTCTATGCAGAGGTTAGAAATACAACCAGATTGTGCTGTTCCCTCTGCTGTAAATGGAGAGATTTTAAGAGAGGGCTCCTTCCTGGTCCCAGCAGACCGAGGCTCTCACGGTTGTCTAAAGTAAACTGTGAGAGTAACACAATGTGAAAGCCAAAGAAAGTTATCTCCATGCATTACTTTGCTTCTATTTTGCAAAGACCATCAGTTGAGTTTCTGTGGACTTTAGTTTCCTCATCTGTGAAATGAGGCTGAAAACACTTGCAGAACCTATCTTAGGTCGTGAGCAATGGATGGGAAAGCAGGAGGTATATACCATATGGCGAAGTTGGATTATGAGTGACTGGCCTGGTCTGAATCCTGGAGTCTCTATGCCTCAGGTACCTGATGACTGGGGTGATGACCCCCTTGATCAAGTTGTTGAGATGGATAATTAGATGAATGGATGGATGGGTGAATGAATGATTAGATGCATGGATAATTGGATGGATGGATGAATGGATGATTAGATGGATGGATGGATGGATGGATGGATGGATGGATGGATGATTAGATGGATGGATGGATGGATGATTAGATGGATGGATAGATGGATGGATGATTAGGTGGATGGATGGATGAATGGATTCTTGGAAAATTCTTGGAAAATGGCAAGCATGAAAAGTGCCCCACTGATAGCTGATGTAAGTGTTGCTGAGGCCACCATGCACTTTGTCATTTTGACATCTGTATAAAGTGTTTACGAATGTGGGAGTTACTATTATTTACAAATCAATTACCTACTCCAAATCCAAGCAAAAAAACGATATATACGAACAAGAACTTCAGAACGTCATGCAAAATGACCTACAAAGAAAGAAACGGAATTCAAGCATAAGGTGCAAGCACATATTCACCGTACGCTGATCTTCCTGCTTCCCACCCTCTCGCAGCCTCCACCCTAACCGTCCCTTCACTTGGGCCACTCTCCCCTCCCCCAGCCATATCTTCCCGATGCTCCAAGGCTCAGCTCTGGATCCCGCCTCCTCCAGGAAGCCTTCCGTTCCTTCTCCAGCCCCAGGTTCTCTTCTTCCTGTGATCTGCCCTGTACCTTTCGCCATAGGTTCTCACATCTGGAATCCTCACACTTCCTGGGGGCAGTGGCATGCTGGAGCCAGCTCAGAACAGCTCACAAGAGCTGATAGTTACATTTTCCTGAAGCCTGTTAGCTGGTTGTTAAACACAGCCATTACTCAGAACTAAATCAAACTTTCAGTTAGAAGATGAGTAACTTCTGGGGATTTAATGTACAGCACGATGGCTATAGTCAGCAACACTGTGCTGTGTGCTGGAAGTCTGCTAAGAGAAGAGATCATAAATGTTCTCACTGCACACAAAGAAACAGCAACTATGTGAGGTGATACGTGTGTTAACTAATTGAAACTGGAAATCATTTCACAATATATACCTATATCAAATCCTTGCATTGCAAAAAAAAATTAAACTGTATAAACTTACAATTAAATAAGTTATATTGTTTTTAAAAGACAGGCCAGGCACAGTGGCCCAATCCTTAAGACAGCGATTGAGAAAGTGTTAATCCAGATCACATTTTTAAATCTGTTCTGTCTGCAGCCTTTACGCTGTGTACAGCACACACATATCAGTGAAATATTCTTCCGGTGTTTGCAAACTATCATCCAATTCAGTAAAGAAGTTGCTCACATCATTGATAAACTAGTAAAGTTCAACATGAATCTTAACTGTTTCACTTTAATCACTGTTTATAAAGAAGAATAGCAACCAACATTAATGTCTGAACAGCATTGTTTTGTCAATTGCAACTAAAGGTTGACGACAAAAACTAGAATTCAATAAAAAGCAATAAATAAGCCTGGCGCAGTGGCTCACATCTGTAATCCCAGCACTTTGGGAGGCTGAGGCAGGCAGATCACCTGAAGTTAGGAGTTCAAGGCCAGCCTGGCCAACATGGTGAAACCCCATCTCTACTAAAAATACAAAAATTAGCCAGGCGTGGTGGCACACACCTGCAATTTCAGCTACTCAGGAGGCTGAGGAGGGAGAATCGCTTGAATACGGGAGGAGGTTGCACTGAGCTGAGACTGGGCCACCGCACTCCAGCCTCGGGGACAGAGCAAGACTCAGTCTCAAAAAAAAAAAAAAAAGCAACGAATTATTCTAAGACTCAACTGGCTACGTGGAATTTACAATAAACTGTATTGTTTATTTTCATTATTTGCAAATTGCATTATAGACATTCTTTAATAGTAAAATGTATGATAAGTGTATGTGCATACATACACACACCTACATATACATATTCCACACACACACACACGTACACAGACGCACACACAGAGTGGTTGTTAAATGTTTACCAGCACGCCACTGCCCGGGCGTGAGAACATTCCTCCACAACGCGTCCCCCTCCCCAGTGCCCTACAAGCCCGGGGGATTTAAGGTCTGGACGCCTGAAGCCTGACTGAAAACAAAGGCAGAGCACAGCATTCAGGAAAAGGAGCAGTGCCCCCACTCCTCGGCCAGCCCCTCTGCCTCTGCAGGTCCCAGTGTCCCCATCTGAAAAGTGGCCGTCCTCCGAGGGCCCTCCCGCCGGCGCGGCTACCGACGCACCTTCTGGATCATGACGCTGTACATGCCCATGGACTGGAATCCCCGCGTGTAGTAGAGCATGTTGGCCCAGCCCAGGGCCATGGCCAGCACGAGGCAGGCGAGGTACTCTTTGTAGGCAAACAAGTAGAGGAAGACAGACAGTATCACAAGCACAGCTTGAATAAAACTGTTCAGGAGACACAGGAGACACCAGCCTTACTTACTACTCCTCAGCCTCAGGGCAAAGACATGCAAATCCCCAAACCTTTCCTACACCCCCCCCAAACAGTCACCCCGGTGATGGGCGCCGAAAACATGGGTATCAGGCTGCCCCGGATCCATGTAGCCACCGTAGAATTCAGCCTATAGAAGCATCACCAGAGGCCAGTCACAGCCCGTGGTAGGCTGACTGCAGCTGATCGGGACTTAAAAAAAAAAAAAAATACAAGGCTGGGCGCGGTGGCTCAAGCCTGTAATCCCAGCACTTTGGGAGGCCGAGGCGGGTGGATCACGAGGTCGAGAGATCGAGACCATCCTGGTCAACATGGTGAAACCCCGTCTCTACTAAAAATACAAAAAACTAGCTGGGCATGGTGGCGCGTGCCTGTAATCCCAGCTACTTAGGAGGCTGAGGCAGGAGAATTGCCTAAGCCCAGGAGGCGGAGGTTGCGGTGAGCCGAGATGGCGCCATTGCACTCCAGCCTGGGTAACAAGAGCGAAACTCCGTCTCAAAAAAAAAAAAAAAAAAAAAAAAAAAAAAAAAAATACAAACCCACAGGGCCGCAGAAGGTTCTAGGGTACAGCCCAGGAGGCCGTATATTTTTTAAGTTACCCACATGGGCCAGGCTCATGCCTGTAATCGCAACACCTTGGAAGGCTGAGGTGGGAGGAGCGCTTCAGGCCAGGAGTTTAGGACCAGCCTGAGTGACATAGCGAGACCTTGTCTCTACAAATAAAAAATACATAGAAAAAAAATCTAAGTCGTCCACAGAATTTCTGATTCCCACACTGATTTGAGAATTTCTAGAGTAGACCAAAGATGCAGCAAATGACTGCATTTTAAACCAAAATGACAAAGCTGCCAACATCTATACTTGTAAGCCAATCACAACAAAAGTCCCCCAAACCCTACTTTTTAAACCTTTCTGTGTCCGTGGAAGATTGAGTCTCACTCTGTTGCCAAGGCTGGGGTGCAGTGGCGTAATCTCTGCTCGCTGCAACCTCTGCCTCCCGGATTCAAGCAATTCTCTTGCCTCAGTCTCCTGAGTAGCTGGAATTACAGGCGTGCAGCACCACGTCCAGCTAGTTTTTGTATTTTAGTAGAGACGGGGTTTCACCATGTTGGCCAGACTAGTCTTGAACTTCTGACCTCAGGTGACCCACCTGCCTCGGCCTCCCAAAGTGCTGGGATTACAGGCATGAGCCACCGCTCGCAGCCTCAGATCTCTTTAAAGTATGATATATGGTAAGTGAAGTAAGCTAATCCTGAAAAAACAAGTACTACATGACTCAACCTATAAGGTACCTAAAATAGTCCAATTCACAGGGAAAGAAGGGAGAGTGGTGGCCACGGTGTGGCGGGGTGGTTTGTAGGGAAGCAGAGGAGTAGGGAGTGCTGATTAGTAGGTGTGGAGTTTCGGTTTTGCAGGACAAAAAGAGTTCTCAACACTGACTGCCCAACAATGTACTTCACAGTATTGATTTGTATGCTTAAACAATGGTTACGATGGTAACTTTATGTTATGTGTATTTCACCACAATTAATTTTTTTTTTTTGAGATGGAGTCTCCCTCTATCGCCAAGGCTGGAGTGCAGTGGCATGATCTCGGCTCACCACAACCTCTGCCTCCAGGGTTCAAGCGATTCTCCTGCCCCAGCCTCCCAAGTAGCTGTGCATGCCACTACACACAGCTTTTTTGGAGAGAGACATATTTTTTTGTAGAGAGACAAGGTTTTGCCAGGCTGGTCTTGAACTCCTGACCTCAGGCCTCCCAAAGTGCTGGGATTACAGGTGTGAGCCCTCATGCCCAGCCCACAATTAAAATGTTTTTAAGTACCATATATCCCAAGCATACAAAATCAAAATCTACTACACAGTCCATACACTATGCATGATGCAGACATCTAGAAACAAAACACTGTCTCTTGCATGTTCTTCACATGTACTCCAAAACCTAAAATGCAATAAAAAAATTAAAAAAAAAAAAGAACCAAACTCTGTCTCAAAAAAAAAAAAACAAAAAAACAAAACAACAACAACAACAACAACAAAAAACACTGTCTCACTTACAACATTAGGCAGTTTCCAAAGTTATAAGATAGTTAACCAAAGTGACGACACAGGCAAGGTTGTAAGAAAAACTATCTGATTGATCAACTGCTTTTTAGAATGAAATGAAGAAGAATGTCAACACCTTCCGCTACACTAACAAAACAAAGAAGAAGCAGAAGAGGCTGAGCACAGTGGCTCATGCCTGTAATCCCAGCACTCTGGGAGGCCAAGGTGGGCGGATCACTTGAGGTCAGGAGTTCGAGACCAGCCTGGTCAACATGGTGAAACCTCATCTCTATCAAAAACACAAAAATTAGTCAGTGGTGGTAGCAGGCACCTGTAATCCCAGCTACTCAGGAGGCTGAGGCAGGAGAATCGCTTGAACCAGGGAGGCAGAGGTTGCCGTGAGCCAGTATTGTGCCCCTGCACTCCAGCTTGGGGCGACGGAGTGACACTCCGTCTGAAAAAAAAAAAGAAAAAAAAGTAAAGAGCAAGATAATGCCTTAGCGCTTTTTGCCTGCACTAAAACCAGCATCTGTGTAAGTGGATCTCGTCCAGAATCATAACAGTTCCTCCCACGTGGTTTGCATTGTGGGGCAGTACTGCCTGATCTATTTCCTGCAGGATCTGGGGGCTGCCCCTGCCCTCGGGGATGAAGAACTCAATTCATGCCTCTGGAAGGCTGGTACCTACTTAATAGAACACCTAGGTATTTGGAAACACTCAAGGTCCTATACACCCAGCTTCCCAAATGCTCAGAAGAGAGACTTGAGTAGGGTCTAAACAGCTTTTGAGCCCAATTTTCTTCAACCCAAGCTGCAGAATCTGTTCCGTTCCACAACAGCAATGCTCAATCAACTTCTGTTCATTCAGAGGCAGAGGTCACGCACGCCCGTGATGTCAGCTACACGTAAGCGAATGCAGAGGCTGCTGAGCTAGGTGGGCTCTCTGCCCAGGGCCCTATGGTCATTAATCCTGCATTAGCTTGGAATGAAGACAATCAACGGGCTGGAGCTTCGTGTGACTCTGAGTGACTCACCTCCCTGCCCTGGGAGCTTTGATGGTGTCTACAGATGAGGTCAATAATTTCTCAGGTACCTTCCAGTCCTGATCTGCCCAGGTCTCAGACAGCAACTTCTAGGCCCCCGTAACTAGGGGGTTTAGGGTCCCATGCGACTGGAACATCCCTTTGTCAAAACCTAAACGGATGCTAAGCCTGCTCCCGCCTTCCCCATGCTACCTTCTCCCTGGGGCTCTGTGACAGGTGGAGTCAGCCATTGCCACCAGCAAATGGTGGGCACTGCCCTGAAGTTTTCTTTCTTTCTTTCTTTTCTCTTTTTTTTTTTTTCTTTGAGACGGAGTCTCGCTCTTGTCGCTCAGGCTGGAGTGCAGTGACGCAATCTCAGCTCACTGCAACGTCGGCCTCCTGGGTTCAAACGATTCTTCCTGTCTCAGCCTCCCAAGTAGCTGGGACTACAGGTGCGTGCCACCACGCCCAGCTAATTTTTCTATTTTTAGTAGAGAAGGGGTTTCACCATGTTGGCCAGGCTGGTCTCAAACTCCTGACCTCAGTTGATGCGCCCGCCTCAGCCTCCCAGAGTACTAGGATTACAGGCGTGAGCCACCGCGCCTGGCTGCCCTGAATTCTGATCCTCTCCACCGGCATCCATGTGTCTCCTGCTAGGAGAGAGAGGAGATCCCTGGCATGTCACTGTGGCAGAGTGCCTGGATGGTTGTTCAAAGGGAACGCAGCAGCCACCACACAGGACGTCAGCCCCGCCTGTGAGGTGGTAACCAAGGGGCCAGACCTACTTACAAGACAAAGTGAAACCAGGCATCCGAGAGGATGGACTGCAGATCCGAGGGTCTCAGCAGGAAGATGGCAATGCCCTAAGGCCAGGAAGGAGAGAAAAACCGCACGCTGTTCATGGCCCTTGCTGGGGGAGCTGAGCGGGGGGTGCTTCCCCAGGACCGAGACTCAGTGAGGTTTGAATGTGCGAAGGCCCGGCTCGAGCCCAGGTGACGGATATGAAAGGGGACCTGTGCCTGGGGGGGCGTAGGCAGCTCCACAGTGAAGGTGGGCATGCCCTCAAATCTCACCTCCCTCACTCCTTACCCCATTCTCACCCCAGAACCAGCAAAGCGGTACAATCTACAGCTGCCTTCCATTCCGCAAATCCAGCCTCCGAGCCTTTGCTCATGCTGTTCCCCACACCCGCCCTGTAGTGACCTTGTCCCCACGGTCCTCATGCCCAATCCTGCTCCACCAGAGTCAGTGCCATGTCTGCCCTCAAGCATCTCTGCCATCCCCTGGCCCCAGATAAAAGTCACCTCCCTTCCTCTGAACACTGGTCTGAACCCAGCTTAGGGTCTTGTTTGGTCTACTGTCAAGTCTTGATATTTGTGGTCATACTATCGCCCCCACCAGGCTGTGAACTCAAAGACGGTAAACTCGTCCCATTCCTATCACCTCCTCCAGGGCCACACATATATAGAAGGTGTTCAGATTATGTGTTGGTTCATTGAATGGATGGATGGACGGATGGACGGACGGACAGACACATGGATGGATGGAGGGAGGGAGGGAGAGAGGGAGGGAAGGACAGAAAGACGGTTGGATAAAGGACAGAAGGATGGTTGGTAAGGATGAGTGGGCATGCGAACGGATGAATGAGTGGCTGGGTCCATGAAAGACAGGAGGTGATCGGATGGGTGATGGGGGTGGGAGGGGCTGGGAGAATAAATGGTGGATAGTTGGACAGATGGATAGAGAAGTAGACGGATGGAGGAGGGAGGATAGGCCAGCCTTATTCATTTGTTCCTACAACTCAGAGAGCTCAGGCTTGGGAAGGAAATGCCTCCCCAGAGCTCCCCAGCTGTAATGGCAGAGCAGACAGGGATGAAGGCCAGGCCTGCTGCCACCTGCCTGCCTCGAGAGGCGGTCCGGAAGGGCCGAGTGGCCACTCACCTCTTTCACAGAGATGCACATGGCCCAGATGAGCACAAACATCCTTCCCAAGAGCTGCAGCCACCCCATCTTGTGGGTCAGGGCCAAGGGGTGCGGAAGGGCCTGGGAGGAGGGAGGAGGGGTGCTCAGAATAGGGAGGAAGAAGGGCTGAGCTGGCCCCAACACTAGAGCAGCCAAAACACAGGAAAAATGCTCAAGCCAGGTCACAGGCCAGTGTCAAACCCGATCTCTGTACAGGTCAAGAGAAGGAAGAGCCGCTCCCTGACCCCCACCCTCCCCACCCCTGATGGAAGCCCAGATCTCTACAACGAGGGGTATCATCCAGCCTGTGCTAAGCACCCTCACGCTCTACCACAACAGCCTTTCCAGAACCCTCTGTATCCAGACATGCAACATGGCCTCACAGCACAGTTCGGTAAAGCCGAGGCTTCATGCCCCACGTGACAGATGGGAAACCGAGGCCCAGCAGGCAGGGAGCACTTAGCCCCCTTCCATTTCCTGCAGCCCTCACAGCAGAAACACCCGACCAGTTCTATATTTAGACAGAGACCCTGGGCAGGGCCTGACTCTCTGCATTCTCCAACTTCCCCCAACATGGGTCTACCTGGGCCTCAGCCCAGCCAAGCACTGGAGACAAACTCAGCCCCTCCCTGGGGCTCAGTTTCCCCATCTGCACGTGGGGCAGCTCCACCTCTGACCGCCCCCTCTTCCCCCTGCAAGGGGCCCACGTACCTCCTCCTCCCGGGGGCGGTAGTATGAGACCAGGGTCAGGGTGATGTTGTAGAAGAAGTATAAGCAGAAGGACAGGAAGAACATGTACTTGGCAAACTTCTTCCACTTCATTCGCAGCAGCGTGTGCAGCGGCTCCAGAGTCAGCATCTCGTGCCGGTTCTGGGGGCAGAAGGCCAGTGGTCACGTGGAGGTAAGGGAGGAGGGGGCACCGAGTTCAAATGGCCCGTGGGAGCTCCGAGTCAGCATCGCCCTGGCGGAAGGTGCCATCATTACGCCCGGTGGACCGGTTTGGCTGGAAATGCTGGGAGGGTGATGCCAGCTCCTGAGGCTCCTCCCCAGGATGCTTGGGCAGCAAAGGCCACCAGAGCCTGGGTTCCAGCAGGAGGACCCGGAGCACAGCAGAAAGTGAAGGCTAGAAGTGGGCAGGAGGTGGTGACAGCAGTTCCAGCCCCAATTTGCCCCTCCTTCGCTGTGTGACCTCAGGACAGCCTGACCCTCTCTGGGCCTCAGACTCCTCACCTATACAACTGCGAACAATCCCTGCCCTGCCAGCCAGGCTACTGTGAGGCGCAGGGAAGACTCAAGGCCAAGAGACTCTGGGAAGCACGACTCTTGGTAAAATACGAAGGAGGAAGGCCCAGCCCGCTGCCCCGCTTCCCCCAAGAGCTGAACGCGCTTCACCTGTTAGAGTGGACAGGTGCTCCTGTTCACAGGATGACAGTGTCTGAGGCCTGGTCTCACCTGACCCGGGGGTTCCCATCCCATCGGTCAGGAGAGCCCAGGCAGAGAGCTCCTAGGGATAAGGCCAAGTCTCTCCGTCCCGCACCCCAGCCTATAAACCCTTTAAAAGCCCCAGGACAGTGGCCAACCTGGGCAGCATCCAGCTGCTCCTCTCTTCACCTCCATTTGTACCAAACTCTTCCTGCTAGCCTTCTCCAGGAAGGCCCCCCTGATTTCTCCAGCAGTGCACTCTCTGACCCTCATTTGGGACCAGTTTTGGGGAGAGAAAGCATTCTAAGCCTGGCCACATACACCAACAGGGGGTGGGAGAGACACAATATGTAAAGGATCAGCCCCAACCACCCCTTCACCCACACCCACACCCACACTCACACCCACACCCACACCACCCTGGATACTGGGTCCAGAAGACCCCCCCCCCAATCACCACCACTCAGGTCTACAGTCCAAGGTCAACCAGGAAGAGTCGGGCCCACCATCTGTCCCAGGCCTCCCCTTTCTGTGCCTGACTCTGCCCACTAAGGCAAAGGAGCGTGGGAGGCAGACACGGCGGGGAGGGCGGGGAGCACTGGGTCTTCCCAGCGTCTCTGAGCCCCTGGCTGGAGGCCCCGCCCTTGGTGCCCTGCCCAGCCTGCCCGGGAGACCCACGTCGATGTTGGTGTTGTAGACGGTGATTTCCAGCACCGAGTTGCCTGTGGTGGTGTCCACGTTGGTGAGGTCATACAGGGAGGACGACACGGGTCCATATGCCCAGTCCGTGAACTTCCTGGACAGGCTTCGGAGCCTCTTCTCCCTGATCTCACGACTCAGGATGTACTTCAGGATCTAGGACGGGATGAGGCACAGCCGTCAGCTGCAGAACAGGGCCTGTGGCTAGCAGGGCTGGGCCAGCCAGAGGCGGGCTGGGCCCAGGAGATACTCCTGCCCAGGACGGGTGGAGACCTGCCTCTGCGCCTGGAGTGGTGACCCCGGGGCCCCATCTTTATCTGTGGAACACGCACGAAGCTTGCCATTGTGCCCATCTCACAGGAGGTTGTGAATACCAGGGAAAAAGGTGGGAAGGTTCTCTGCAGGCTGCAGCAAGCTGCATGATCAGCTTGAAATCCTCACACCAGCTGCAGTCCCGGTGCAGTGAAAAATGGAGGCACTGATGATTTCTTACAACCAGTTTCCATTTGTTCTGGACTTGAGAAGAAGCCAGAAGTCTTCCCAGCTGCCCCAGCCCACCCTCAGCCAAGACCCCTCCAGCTGTGGCTCACCATTCTGGCCGGACGGGTGGTGACGATAGGCACCATCCCCTACAGGGAGGCCCGTGGGACTTTGGTAGGTCAGTGATCTTCAAAACTCTGCTCCATATTAGGGTCACTGGGAAACTCAGAAATTCCCACAGCATGGCCGGGCGCAATGGCTCATGCCTGCAATCCCAGTACTTTGGGAGGCCAAGGCAGGTGGGCTACTTGAGGTCAGGAGTTCGAAACCAGCCTGGCCAACATGATGAAATCCCATCTCTACCAAAAATACAAAAATAAGCCGGGCGTGGTGGTGCATGCCTATAATCACAGACTTGGGAGGCTGAAGGAGAATCACTTGAACCTGGGAGACTGAGGCTGCCGTGAGCCGAGATGACACCACTGCACTCCAGCCTAGGCGATGAAGTGAGACTGTCTCAAAAAAAAAAAAAAAAAAGCCACACGCAGCAGCTCATACCTGTAATCCCAGAACTTTGGGAGGCCGAGGCGCGTGGATCACAAGATCAAGAGATGGAGACCATCCTGGCTAACATGGCAAAACCCCGTCTCTATTAAAAATACAAAAATTAGCTGAGCATGGTGGTACACACCTTAGTCCCAGCAACTCGGGAAGGCTGAGGCAGGAGAATCACCTGAACCCAGGAGACGGGGGTTGCAGTGAGCCGAGATCGCGCCACTGCACTCGAGCCTGGCAACAGAGCAAGACTCTGTCTCAAAAAACAAAGAAACAAACAAACAAACAAAAAACCCACAGCATCAGCTAGTGAACTTGAAATCTCTAGGGTGGGACCTGGAGTCTATTTTGTGAAGCTTCCTGGGTGGATCCGAGTGCAGGGATCGGATTTTGGATGCAGAGCCACTGCTCTCTTGGCTTCCTACTTCCTGAAAGCTGAGCCCTGGGTCACCCCAGGATGGGGACATGGGCTTCCTAGGGCACCAACTCAAGACGCAAGAGGAGGGGACTGCTGGGAAGGACAGCGTCCAAGGCCTGGTCTCTGCTGACCCAGGGGGTTCCATCCTGTCTGTCATGAGAGCCCAGCCAGAGAGCTCCCAGGGATAAGGCTAAGTCTCTCTGTCCCGCACCCCAGCCTGTAAAAGCCCCAGGACGGTGGGCAACCTGGGCAGCATCCAGAAAAGTTTTCTGGAGGACACGGAACAGAGGAGGGGAGCAGGGGGCAGGGGTCTCCCCCAGGCTGGCCACAGCGGGCACACTGTGCCCTAGAGAACAAGGGCGTCCTGGGGCCATGCTTCATGCAGGAAGCCTCCTCCCTGAGCTGGGGCAGCAGGGACAGCACACGCCACAGTGGCACACAGGGAAGCCGGCCTTGGAGAAAGCTCCATCTGTAACCACAAGCTGACTCCTCAAAGCCCCGTCAAGCTGTGGTCCTGAGGGTGGGCAGGAGCCGCGGGGAGGCAGCCACACAATCCCTCCTCTGTTGAAGCCGTTCTCCAGCTCCTCCTCCCCCACGAGAGAATAAAAAGGGCCCTTGTGGGGCCCAGCCATGGTCACTTGGGACAGGACCAAGGCCCTCAGGGCAGCTGACCGGGGTGGGGGTGGGTACCCCGAGGCTGGCACCGCTGTGATTACTCAACAGCCACCACCCGCTAGCGTCCTCCTGCGGCTTCCGGGGAGCCACGGCCTCCTCGCAGAGGGCAGAGACAGGCTGAGGAACACGCTCGGTCCCCAGGATCAGTCCCCCAGAACATGAGGCCCAGCCATGATGCCAGCCCCTGAAAGAGATCCGTCCAGCCCTGCTCCAGCCTTCACCAAGGCTCCCAGCTAAGTCTCGACTTCTCAGCCGCGTCACACAAGGCAAGAAGGGCCCGAAGCAGCCACTCTGCTGGGGACGTGGCACGGAGTTCCAACCCGACAGCCAGGCTGGGGTCTCTCCATAACTGGGAAATGGCAGCCCATTGGTTCCGGGCCAGAGCAGCCATCCTGAAACTCCCGTCCTCATGAGGGGCAGAAGTCCCCGAGGGCCACCCCACTCCCTGCGGGGGCTACGGTGTCACCTCAGCCTCAGGCTCCCCCAGCGCAGCCCTTCCAGGACAAGGGATGGAAACGCAGCGGATTGGGGACAAAAACGTGGGGATTGGGTGCACAGGCCGCATGGCGCCAGCTCCGTGGGGCCCCTCAGAAAAAACCCACCTCAGGCGCCACTGCATTTCTGGACCTCAGGCTGGGACCTTCCCAAGCCCGCGGCTGTGCTCTGTCAATCCCCTGTCTGGGGACCCGGGGCTGAGGGAGTGGCCGCTGTGCCCCCCGACCCCGCCCCCCGCGCTCCGGGCCCCGCCCACCGCTCCCTGGGCCCCGCCCCCTGCTCCGGGCCCCGCCCCGCGCCCCGGGCCGCACCTCGGCCTTGCCCATCTTGGCCGCCAGCTGCAGCGGTGTGAGGCCGTCGTTGTTGCGCGTGGTCTCCAGCTCCCAGCTGCCGCTGCGCCGCAGGATCGTGTCGTACATGCGCTTCACGAAGTCGTTCTGCGTCTGGAAGTCCTCGGCCACGGTCACCAGGGCGTGAAGGATGTTGTTGCCCCGCGAGTCCTGGGAGGCGATGTCGGTGCGCTCGTGCTCCATCAGCAGCTCCACGATCTCGGGCTGGTTGGTGCACGCCGCCAGGGCCAGGGGCGTCTCGCCTGGGGGAGGAGGGCGCCGAAGCTGGGTTCTGGGTCCTTCCCCAAGCCCCAGGACGGGGGCCCACATCCTGTCTCAGCAGAATCGCAAGTGAGGTTCCCTGGTCCTCTCCCCATCTCCTGCTTCTGTGGGGCAGGCTGAAGCTACATCACTGCGCAGCCTCCTCATGGGCCTCCCTGCTGCCACCCTGGCCTTTCTGTACCCTGCTGGGCACAGCAGCCAGACCAACCTGTTAGCGCCTCCCGCAGAATGAAAGCTCAAGTTCCAATGACACCCACAAAGCCCTGTGTCCTCTGACCTCTCCTCCTGTCCCATCACTCACTCCCCCGACAATGGCTTTCCTCCACTTCCTCCAACACGCGGCCAGCCGGGGCCTTTGCTTGGCTGTTCCCTCTGCTGGTAGACAGCCAGTCCCTCGCTCCCTCACCTCCTTCAAGTACTTGCTCAAACGTCACCTTTCAGTGATCCGGCCTAACTGGCTCTATTTAAAACTAAAGAATTTAAAACTATTTAATTCTATTTAAAATTGAACTGTTTATTAAAATTAAAATAAGGCGGTGGGTCACGCCTGTAACCCCAGCACTGTGGGAGGCCAAGGCAGGCGGATCACCTGAGGTCGGGAGTTTGAGACCACCCTGACCAACATGGAGAAATCCTGTCTCTACTAAAAATACAAAAAAAATTAGCCGGGCGTGGTGGCGCATGCCTGTAATACCAGCTAGTTGGGAGGTTGAAACAAGAGAATTGCTTGAACCTGGGAGGCGAAGGTTGCTGTGAGCCAAAATCAAGCCATTGCACTCCAGCCTGAGCGACAGGGAGACTCCGTCTCAAAAATAATAAATAAATAAATAAAATTAAAATCCACCCCCCTCTTGCCCCAGACAGAACTCCTAATTCCTGTCCTCTGCTTTACTTTGCATTTTTGAAGAGCCCTTTTCATTTCTTGTCATATTACACTGGCTTCAACCAGGTTCGGTGCAGGGCAATGGTACACACTCGGAACTGGACAATACCCTGTTGACCGGGACATCCAGACCGGACACCCAGGGCTGCCCAGAGCGCAGGCTAGCTAGTCCTGCTGATAAAAAAACTACCCAGAAGATAGTCCCAGCTACTTAGGAGGCTGAGGTGTGAGAATCACTTGAACCCAGAAGGCAGAGGTTGCAGTGAGCCGAGATTGCACCACTGCACTCCAGCAGCCTGGGCAACAGAGCGAGACTCCATCTTCAAAACACCCAGAAGAGAAAACAGATGGGTGATCACCAGTCAGGCGAGACTGGATGGGAGGAGGGGTCTCCTCTGCAACCAAGTTGCACAGAGAACTTTCAGGTGTGACTGAGCCCTTGGTTCCTGTCTTGATTGCAGCAGTGGTTAGCCAGCCGTCGATGCTGTGAAAATGAACAGAACCCTGCTCTAAACGGCTGGATTTCACTCTGTCTACATTATGCATTTCCATTTTTTTTTTTTTTTCGTAGAGCATCCTAACCCCAGTTGCTTTTGGACTCTGTAACTTGTCAGGCAGAGGATTTGGTCCTCTCACTCTCGACTCCCGACTCCATTTGCAGTCCTGAGAGGCACTGGACCCCGGCACAGAGGCCAGAGCTGGAGGCCAAGACGCCCAGGTCAATGCCCTGCTACACTGGGGCAAGTCCTTCCCCTTCGCAGAGCGGTCTCCTCGCCTGTAAAATGTGGCTGCCTCCTTGGCCTCCCTCCCAGGTCTCTGTTCCCTCAGAGGGATGTCCAGGATGATGCTTCTGAGACCACCAGGTGACACCCCTGGAATGTGGGCTCCTCCCCCCCCACCTCCCAGCCCCTCCTTCTCTAGTCCACACTGGTGTCCTCCCAGGGGGACATCTCCAGCCTCCTCCCGGCCCAGCGCTGTCCTCTGGGAAACCAGAGCCTCTTGACCGTGGGGATGGAGTGCAGAGCGAGGTGGCCCCTCCCTTCCTCCCTCCTCCCTTTCTCCTCCCTTCCTCCCTCTCCCTCCTTCTTCCCTCTCTCTCCCTCCTCTCTTCCTCCCTCTCCCTTCTTCCTTCCCTCTTCTTTCCTCCCTCCTTTCTTCCTCCCTCTCCCTCTTCCTAACGTCTTCCTCCCTCTTCCTAACATCTTCCTCTCTCTTCCTCCTCCATTCCTCCCTCTTCCCTCTCCCTCCTCCCTCATTCCTCCTGCCCTCTTCCTTCCTCCCTCCTCCCTTTCCCTCCTCCATCTCCCTCCCTCCTCCCTCTCCCTCCTCCCTCTCCCTCCTCCCTCTCCCTCCTCCCTCTCCATCCTACCTCTCCCTCCTCCCTTTCCCTCCTCCTTCTCGCTCCTCCCTCCTCCCTCCCTTCCTCTCCCTTCTCCCTCCTCCTTCATTCCTCCTCCCTCTTCCTTCCTTGCTCCTCCCTTCTCCTTCCTCCTTCTTCCTCTCCCCCTTCCCTCCTCCCTCCTCCCCTTCCCTCTTCCCTCCTCCCCTTCCCTCTTCCCTCCTCCCTCTTCTTCCTCCCTCTCCCTCCTTCCTCTCCATCCTCCCTCCCTCCTCCCTTCCTGCCTCTCCTTCCTCCTTCATTCCTCCTCCTCCTTCCCTCGTCCCTCCTCCCTCCTCCCTCTGCGTCCTCCCTCCTTCCTCTCCATCCTCTCTCCCTCCCCCTCCCTCCTCCTTCCTCCCGGACTCGGCGCCGGGCGGGGGCGGCACCCACCGAAGTAGAAGCCCTCGTGCTGGTTCTTGGGGTTGAAGAAGGTCCCCTTGGCGTGGGCGTTGACGTCAGCGCCGGCGGCGATGAGCAGCGCCGTGATGTCCCCCTGCCGCCGCTCGATGGCGATGTTCAGCGCCGTCTGGCCTGCGGACCGGGGTCGGGGGCCCGGAAGCCTCAGCGCGTGGGGCGGGGGCGGGGGCCGGGGCGGTGGCTGGCCTGCCCGCCCTCTGTGGCCTCCACAGCCTCCCGCGAACCACAGGGAAATCAGGGCTCCTCGCTGTGTCTCCCGCCACCGGGAATCCCAGCTTTATTCTTCGCTTCCTTCAGGCTTGCGCGGCCCAAGGAGCGCATGTGGAGCGCCTGCTCCGAGCTCTGACACCAGCGCTGGGGTTCAGGGGTCAGGGGTGCACAGACGCAGCGTCCGTGATTTTCCTCAAGAGGCCACAGTGGCTGGGCGAGGTGGCTTACGCCTGTCATCCCAGCGCTTTGGGAGGCCGAGGTGGGAGGATCACTTGAGGTCAGGAGTTCGAGACCAGCCTGGCCAACATGGTGAAACCGCGTCTTTATCAAAATTACAAAAATTGGCTAGGCCTGGTGGTGCGTGCCTGTAATCCCAGCTACTCGGGAGGCTGAGGCAGGAGAATCGCTTGAACCCAGGAAGTGAAGGTTGTAGTGAGCTGAGACCCATCCACTGCACTGCAACAGAGTGAGACTCCATCTCAAAAAAAAAAAAAAAAAAAAGTCCACAGTGCCACTGAAAACTAAGTGCCACGATTCAGAGAGGGGCAGGGGCTGGGGGACCAAGAGCAAGGGCCCTTCACAGCCAAAGGGCACCAGGGTCTTCCCAGGGGCTCTCACCTGGGACCTCAGAAGTTTAGGAGGCTGGGCGGGGCCAGCTCTTAAGCCAGACTAAGAGAGCAGAGCTTATCCTAAGCCCTAAAGTCACAGAAGGCCTTGAAGTAGGGAACTGGCCAGACCAGAAGTTGGAGTTTGGTGCCTGGATGCTTTCAGATCTCTCGGGCTGCAAAATTGGAGAATGCATTCAAGGCAGCCGAAACCAGGGAAAGAAATGAGGAGGCCTGAGCTAAGGAGAGGCAGAGGGCACACGAAGCGTGGAGAAAGCAGGACGTCCAAGGACCCTCAGGACCACAGGCTGGGGAGAAGGGTGTCTCAGGTAAGGCTAGCATCTGGCCCTGGCAGGGAGTGAATTGTATGCTGGAGACTGAGCAGGAAGGGAGAGGCATTCAGCCTGCTAGAGGCTGAAGAACTTCCAGATGGAAGGGACAGAGGCTGGGAGGAGGGGAGGGTCTCAACATGTACCAACAGAAACAGCATTTCCCCAAGAGCTGCCACCATGCTGTAAACAAATGGTGGATTAAAGAACTAAGCTTTTAAGAAAATTAGGAATTTATAACTAACCTTTTGGTAGGGAAGATCCAAAGATCTTGCTTCTTCTTAAGCAAGATCCGAAAGGCAGAAACCACAAATAAAAGGCTGACACACTGGCTTACAAAAAGGCTTTTGGGTTTGGGGTTTTTGTGTTTTGTTTTGTTTTGTTTTGTTTTGACATAGGATCTTGCTCTGTCACCCAGGGTGGAGTTCAGTGGTGCAATCTGGGCTCACTGCAACCTCCGTCTCCCAGATTCACGATTCTCCCGCCTCAGCCTCCTGAGTAGCTGGGACTACAGGCGTGCACCACCACACCCAGCTAATTTTTTGTATTTTTCGTAGAGGTGGGGTTTTACCACGTTAGCCAGGATGGTTCCATCTCCTGACCTCATGATCCATCAGCCTCAGACTCCCAAAGTGCTGAGATTACAGGCCTGAGCCATTGCACCCAGGCTTCATAGCATTTTTTAAATCTAAAGTTACCTTGTTTAGAACAGTGATTTACTTTATTTATTTGTTTTGAGATGGAGTCCTGCTCTGTTGCTCAGGCTGGAGTGCAGTGGCATGATCTCAGCTCACTGCAACCTCCACCTCCCAGGTCTCAGCCTCCCGAGTAGCCGGGATTACAGGCAGCTGCCACAACGCCCAGCTAATTTTCGTATTTATAGTAGAGATGGGGTTTCACCATGTTGGCCAGGCTGGTCTCGAACTCTTGACCTTAGGTGATCTGCCCGCCTCGGTCTCCCAAAGTGCTGGGATGACAGGTGTGAGCCACCACGCCCAGCCTTAGTGACTTTGATCTCTTATTCACCAGTGCATGCCAGTGCCAAAAGCAATGCCTGGCATGTAACTGGTGCTCAAAATTACTTGCAGAATGAAGGAAGAAAGAGGGGGTGCCTGCAGCGTCCCTGGCCCCGTGCTGCATGCTTGGGGCTTCTCAGTGGCAGCAGTGGCTCGACGTGGCATGGCCAGCAGTGGCCCTGCAGCCCCACACCCACCCTCGGAGCCCGAGGCGCATCCCGTTGGCGGCAGGGTACCTTCGTAAGCCTCCTCTGTGTACTCGGCGTTGATGAGCCTGTCCAGCATGTCATTCTCTTCGGCAAAGGCAAGCAGGATCCGCACAATCTCCTTGGTGTTGGGGTTGATGTTTAACAAGGCCTTCATCAGGCAGGTCTTCCCCGTGTCTGAGGCCGTCAGCTTGTGCATGAGGAAGTCTGCGGGCAGGGATGCAGATACAGCAGGGGCCCGGCTGCCCTGGGCCCTCCCAGCCCCGAGGAGGTGGGGCTGCAGCTGCAGACCTCCAGCCCCCACTCCCAGACCTCACGCTGCGGCTCTCCTCCTCCCTCTCCAGCTGTTCCTCTGCCATCTCCTTTGCGGGTTCCTTGCTCTCTGTAGCCCACGGGAGCCTCCTCTGAGGCCTGTTCCTCTGTGCCCACTGTGTGCCTTCTCGCTGTGCACTCCCACCCTGGAATCTCTGTCTCCAGCCTGTCCCCTCCCTCCTTGTGGCCTGCAAATAAAGCTCATGGCCTCCCATCGACCTGATAGTGCCCTGGTCCTGGAGACAGCCAGGGCTCCAGCATCCACCAAGCTACCCAAGTCTAAATCGCACCATGCTGGACTCTCCCCGCCGACCCCTTGCCACCTCCCCAGGTCCTGAGTCCTGCCAATGCCGATGCCTGGGGAGCCCCTCAGAACCCTTCCCCTTCTCAATCCCTGCTTTGGGGTCCCAGCCCTGCCTGGACGGTGGCCTCCTCCAGCTGTACCCCCACCTTCCACACAGTGGTCAGACCACGATCTCACCTGCCCAAACCCTTCTGGGGCTCCCCGTCACCCTCAGAGTCAAGTCCAGAGTCCCTAGCCAGCACGCAGGACTCCTCACACTCCATCCAGCCCCACGAGTTGCTGAAGGGAGGAGAAGGTGAGCACCCGAAGCCAAGCAGGACCCCAGCCCCGCTCCCTCCTCCAGGCTCAGACACTGACCAGGGACATCCTGGTCGCGGCGCCGCCTGCAAAGCTCCTGCAGCTCGGCCAGCAGTTCCAGCAGCTCGTCCACGCAGCCCTCCGACACCGCCGCGAAGATGCGCTTCTTCAGCCGCCGCTTCTGCCTCCTCCGCTCTTCCCTCGCCAGGTGTGCGCTGAAGCAGACAGTGTTTCCAGCTCGCCACACGCGTCCTCTCCACCTCAGCCCCTCCTTTTCCCCACCAGAGCTGCCCACAGGGCGCCGCGCCGGCCCCACGCCTGTCACAATGCCCGCAACCCACTGGGCTCCGTGCAGACCCATCAGGCGCCCCTCATAACGCATAGGCAATCACATTTTGTCCAAATATCTGTATTTGGATGCATGCAGCAATGGTCAGGAAGGACACTCGCCTAAGTGTTGATAGACATTGCCTTAAAAATGTGACATTGCATATTTTGTGTTGTTTGAACTTTATTATTATTATTATTATACTTTAAGTTCTGGGGTATATGTGCAGAACATGCAGGTTTATTGCACAGGCATACATGTGCCATGGTGCTTTGCTGTATCCATCACCCCATCATCTATGTTAGGTATTTCCCCTAATGTTATCCCTCCCCTAGCCCCCCACCCCTTGCTATCCCTCCCCAGCCCCCCGACCCCCTGCTATCCCTCCCCAGCCCTCCAGCCCCTGCTATCCCTCCCCAGCCCCCCACCCCCTGCTATCCCTCCCCAGCACCCCCACCCCCTGCTATCCCTCCCCTAGCCCCCCACCCCCTGCTATCCCTCCCCTAGCCCCCCAACCCCTGACAGGCCCCTGTGTGTGATGTTCCCTTCCCTGTGTCAATATGTTCTCATTATTCAACACCCACTTACGAGTGAGAACATCGGTATTCGGTTTTCTGTTTGAACTTTTTAAATCCATCCCTCCCTGTCCTTCCCCCTACAGACAAGCCACTGTGGTAATGCCTCGACATCTCCTTGTCTGTATGTGTTCTTGCACAATGCATGTGGGTGTTGGGCACAGGTGTATTTTAATTCACATAGGCGCTAACATTGCCGTTCCATTGCAGCCCGCTGTCGAACGTCTCAGAATGAATGGTGTTAGGGAATTCGACGCCCCACTCCTTCCCCCCAAATCTCCCACATACAATGGATCCGAGACCCCACTTTCCCAATCCCCAGGAATGCTGGCTTCTTTCTCTTTCCTGCAGGATCCGGATCCTGTCTCTCTGGCATCCCCAGCCTCAAGGGTGGGCACAGCGGGAGGAGGGAGAGGGCCAGACTTACCTAGGGCTGTTGGGATTGGATGGGGTCTCTGTCACATCATCCTGAGGAGACTGGGGGGAGTCCATGTCATCACAGTTGCCAGAGATGCTAGAGGTGTTGGGGGAGGGAACGGAGAGGGTTTTAGTTTTAAAATGGGTCGGATGCGATGGCTCACGCCTGTAATACCAGCACTTTGGGAGGCCAAGGCCAGTGGATCACTTGAGGTCAGGAGTTCAAGACCAGCCTGGTCAACATGGTGAAACCCCATTTCTACTAAAAATACAAAAACTAGCCAGGGGTGGTGGCATGTGCCTCTAATCCCAGTACTTGGGAGCTGAGGCAGGAGAAATGCTTAAACTCAGAGGTGAAGGTTGCAGTGAGCTGAGACTGGGCCACTGCGCTCCAGCCTGGGCAACAGAGTGAGACTTCATCTCAAAAAAAAAAATACTACTAACAATAATAAAGTTTTTTTGGTTTTTGTTTTTTGAGATGGAGTCTTGCTCTGTCATCAGGCCAGAGTGCAGTGGCTCAGTCTCAGCTCTCTACAATCTCTGCCTCCTGGGTTCAAGTGATTCCTCTGCTCTTCCCTGCCTCAGTCTCCCAAGTAGCTGGGACTACAGGTGTGCACCACCACACCTGGCTAATTTTTTGTATTTTAGTAGAGACGGGGTTTCACCATGTTGACCAGGATGACGTCGATCTCCTGACCTCATGATCTGCCTGCCCTGGCCTCCCAAAGTGCTGGGATTACAGGCGTGAGCCACCAAGCCCGGCCAACAATTAAGTTTGATAATAGACAGCAATAGCCTCCCATAGCCAGGCCTGGCCCCGTGGCCCAGGGGGAGTCACTGTCCCCATACTGGAGCTGAGGGCTGCGCCCAAGGCAGGGGGCGGGGCTGGGCCAGTACTCACCACTGCCGGATGTTGGAGTCCATGGGCTTGGAGAAGACAGGGGGAGAGGTCTTGGCCACCGTGGGGTTGGGCTCGAACCCCTCTATCTCCAGGAAGAAATGCGCACTGAGGAAACATGGAGGAAGCCCGTCAGGGCCCAGCTGGGCAGAGCCGGTCGGTCCGTGTGCTGCCTCCAGCCACAGCGCGTGCCCTCACGCTGATCACACGCCTGCCAACTCTGAGCCCGCACGGCCCCGCCCAGCCCTCCTGGGAGCCCTCAGTGATGGGCACTGTCATCACCTGCATTTTACAGATGGACACTGGGAAGCTGCCGGTCGAGTGTGAAACCCCAGAACAGGACTGAGGCGAACCCAGTTACTGGAGAGGGTTATTTAGCCAAGGCTGAGGACACACCCGAAAACGAGACGCAACACAGTGGGGTCCGTGGCCGCACTTTCTCCTACGAGCAGGATTTTGAGGGCTTCAATATTTACAGGGGAAAAGTGCACAGTAGAGAAAGGAAGAAAGAAAAAAAAAGAGGGAGCAGGCCAGGAGCAGGGGCTCACACCTGTAATCCCAGCACTTTGGGAGGCCGAGGCAGGCGGATCACCTGAGGTCAGGAGTTCGAGACCGGCCTGTCCAACATGGCGAAATCCTGTTTCTACTAAACATACAAAATTAGCCAGGTGTGGGGGCATGTGCCTGTAATCCCAGCTACTGGGGAGGCTGAGGCAGGAGAATCGCTTGAACCCAGGAGGCGGAGGTTGCAGTGAGCCGAGATCGCACCCACTGCAATCCAGCCTGAGTGATAGAGGGAGACTCCATCTCAAAAAGAAAAAAAGGAAAGGAAAAAGGGAGCATAGGGCCACATTCTTCTGAGGCTTTGATTCTGCTTCCTGAGTACACGTGTGGCACATGAAAAGGGGTGGGTAGAGGAAACGGTCAGTTAGGGATTCATCTTGCTCTCAGTTAATCTGTGCTTCACGTAAGATAAGCATACATACGCAGGGGAAGTAGTCAGATATGCAATTGTCTCAGTGGGAGGGCGGGTGAGGGGGGATGGTTTCTAGTCTCCTCTTGTCCTGTAGCGCCAATTAGCTGTTAATTCACAAAGTCAGGGTGAGGAAGGCCTCCCGTGGAGACACGTGGCTTCCGTCTGTAGGTAGAGCAACCTGCCCAAGGTCACGCGGCAGACAGGTGGCAAAGCCCAGATTCAAAGCTGGGTCTAGGCCAAGTGCAGTGGCTCATGCCTATAATCCCAGCACTTTGGGAGGCTGAGGCGGGTGGATCGCTTGAGGTCAGGAATTTCAAGACCAGCCTGGCCAACATGGTGAAACTCCGTCTCTACTAAAAATACAGAAATTAGCCGGGCGTGGTGGCACGCACCTGTAATATCCCAGCTACTCAGGAGGCTGAGGCAGGTGAATCACAGGAGGCGGAGATTGCCGTGAGCTGAGATCGCACCACTGCACTCCAGCCTGGGTGACAGAGCAGGACTCCCTCTCAAAAAAGAACAAAACAAAACTAAAACTGGGTCTGGGTGACTCTCCCTGCCGGAAGCACTGGGTGGATGAACCCGAGTCTCTACTGCAGGCGGCCGAACACTGGAGCCGGCTTTCCCTGTCTGCAGCTGCCTCAAGGATGGGCAGGATGGCACTGGGAGCGAAGCTTTCCCAATCACCACCTAACCCCCTCCAGCCCTCAGGTCTGAAGTTGGAGCCCTTCTGAGGGGCAGTCCCTAGACTCTGAGATCTACGCGGGCCTTCCTGGCTCTTGAGGGAAAGGGAACAGCCGGAGTTATACCGGCCACCTTTGATCAGTACCTGTACTGTTTGTCACAGCAGAAAACAGGGTGAAAACGGCTGATCCAGGCCAGGCTTGGTGGCTCATGCCTGTAATCAGCACCTTCGGAGGCCGAGGTGGGAGGATCACTTGAAGTCTGGCCTTGCCAACCTGGTGAAACCCCATTTCTACTAAAACTACAAAAATTAGTTGGGCGTGGTGGCACACGCCTGTAATCCCAGCTTCGCAGGAGGTTGAAGCATGGGAATCATTTGAACCTGGGAAGTGGAGGTTACAGTGAGCCAAGGTTATGCCATTGCACTCCAGGCTGGAAAACAGAGCAAAACTCTGTCTCACAATAAAAAAATAAAATAAAATAAAAAATAAAAAAGACTGATATAGAGCAGGGAGGACTTGAGGGGTTAGAGGACAGGGCTGGGAATTCTCCGTGGAGAAGGAAAACACAGGAAGCCATCTCAGGCAGCGGAGAGGAGCGGCGGAGGGGAGGGGAGGGGACGGCAGCTTTCTCCTTGGGTGGGGAGAAGAGAGAGGCCAGGACCCTGTGGCCTGGCTGAGCCCCAGGGAAGGGGAGATACTGGCCTATGAGAAGCAAGACATACACCCAAGACGTGACTCCCAGCCAGACAGAGCCCCAGCTCCACCTTCAGACACACCCACAAACGCAGGCACTCATGTCCTTGGAAACCACAATTACACGCTCAGAGACGACAACCAAGACTGTGAATATCAGGCTGGGGGCGGCCTCAGTGGCAGCAACACCCCTGCCCTGCCGCTGCTACAGGACAGCTGCGGCCTCTGTGGCCTGGCCGGGGACTGTGGCCTCCCAACCAGCGGGGCCTCTCCTGGCACACGGGGTCCTAAGCATCTCTGCTGCCTCCTTCATTCTCAGGCCCAGAAGGACCAACTTGCGCCTTTCCTCCCTCTCAGGACTACAGAAGAGCTCCCAAAGGGCAGGCTCAGCCACGTCAGACCCAGGAGGGAGGGCAGCAGGGAAGGGACTGTGGCCCCCTTCTGCAGACGAGAGTGCTGAGGCTCAGCCTGGAGAGGCAGCTCCTCCGTGGGCCCCCCAGGGTGAAAGCCAAGTTGGTGAAAGAACCTGCTTCCTGATGTCCGGGCTCACAGTCCACACTGCAATCCACACTGCTTTGCTCCCGCCTTAGCAATCCGAGCCTTCTTCCAGATACACTAGCTCCAGGGGTTGGCCACAGAGGGGAGCATGCCTGGCACAGCCACTTCCTAGGGTGGGGCAAGCAGGAGAGAGACCCTGGGCTTGCCTGAGGAAACCCTGTCCTTTCCTCCAGCACAGGCAAGCCTGGAAGGGTCAGCGTGAACCCAAAAACGGAGACACGTGGTGAGGAGCGTGGTCCTGGCTGACACATTGGCCCTCACCTGCCAGTCTCCTGCCCACCAGAAGCAACCTTCTGACCTGAGCTGCCAATCAATCTCTTCTTCCAAAAGGGAGGAGTTGAACCCTTGCCTGGAAACTGAAAGCCTGGGTTCTAGTCCAGCTCTGCCTCTGCTTCCTATGTGACCCCAGAAGATCACCTGCCATCCCTGGGCCAGTCATCGTCACCTGAATGGATGATGGTCGGGCCAGATGACCCCTAGGGCCTGGACTCTGGAGCCAGGGCAGCTCTGGGATCGTCCTCTTAGGGAACATCCAGCTGAAGTGGGCATCAGAGGTCAACCAGTCTGATTGCCACTTCCCTGCAGCCCTGAAGTGCCCCAGGGCTTTTGCCTCCAGTCCACCACAGCAGCCTGACCCAGAAGCTCCCAAAACACTTGATGGTGGCTGAGCCCCAAAACATCCTGGTTGAGATTTGCCAAATTATCTCCAGACACAGCTTCAAGTTCTGTACCATGGCTTTTTCCCCAAGACAGCCGGCCCCGTCCCTCCCCTGCTGCCCATCCTACGATACCTGTCTGTGTTCCTCAGTGCTGCATTTACTCAACAAATATTTACTGTGCATCTGCAATGTGCCAGGCACTGTTCCTGCAGTTGGGGATACAGTAGGGAACAAGTGGACAAAATCTCCATCCCTTCCAGAGCTGCTGCTCCAGTGAGTTGGTCAGAACTGACCAAGAAATAGTACAGTGAGGCCACGACTTTCCACACTCTGCAAAATACACCACCCTACAGCTGTGCATTCCTCAATGGCAGAGACCACAGTTGAATTACCTTTGATTCCGAGCACTGGTCCTAACACGCAGAAGACTTCATCAGTGAATGAGTGGAGAGATAGATAATGAGTGAAGGGCAAGAGAGTGGAAGGAAGGATGGTTGGTTGTATAGATGCTCAGATAAATGGATGAATGAATAATGGAGAGATGGATGGATGATGGGATGCGTATATAAGTGGATGGATGATGGATGGATGGATGGATGATGGGATGGGCATATAAGTGGATGGATGATGGATGGATGGATGGTTGGATGAATGGGTGATGGATGATGATATGGGAATATAAGTGGATGGATGACAGATGGATGGATGGATGGATGGATGATGGCATGGATATATAAGTGGATGGATGATGGACGGATGGATGGATGAATGGGTGGATGGATGATGTCATGGGTATATAAGTGGATGGATGGATGGATGGATGATGGCATGGGTATATAAGTGGATGGATGATGGATGGATGGATGAATGGGTGGATGGATGATGGCATGGGTATATAAGTGGATGGATGATGGATGGATGGATGGATGGATGGATGATGGATGATGGGATGGGTATATAAGTGGATAGATGATGGATGGATGGATGATGGGATGGGTATATAAGTAGATGGATGATGGATGGATGGATTGATGGATGAATGATAGGATGGGTATATAAGTGGATGGATGATGGAGGGATGGATGGATGGATGATGGGATGGGTATATAAGTGGATGGATGATGGATGGATGGATGGATGATGGCATGGGTATATAAGTGGATGGATGATGGGTGGATGGATGAATGGGTGGATGGATGATGGGATGGGTATATAAGTGGATGGATGATGGATGGATGGATGAATGGGTGAATGGATGATGGGATGGGTATATAAGTGGATGGATGACAGATGGATGGATGGATGGATGATGGATGATGGGATGGGTATATAAGTGGATGGATGATGGATGGATGGATGGATGGATAGATGGATGATGGGATGGGTATATAAGTGGATGGATGATAGATGGATAGATGAATGGATGATGGGATGGGTATCCAAGTGGATGAATGATGGATAAATGGTTGGATGGCGAGATGAGTAGGTGAGTGGATGGATGATGGAGGAAGGATGGATGGTGAGATGGGTATATTAGTGGATGGATGATGGATAGATGGATGGATGGATAGCGAGATGGGTAGGTGAGTGGATGGATGATGGATGGATGGATAGATGGATGATGGGATGGGTATATAAGTGGATGGATGATGGATGGATGGATCGATGGCGAGATGAGTAGGTGAGTGGATGGATGATGGAGGATGGATGGATGGATGGATGATGGATAGATGGATGGATGATGGATGGATGGATAGATGGATGATGGATGGATGATGGGATGCATATATAAGTGGATGGATGATGGAGGATGGATGGATTGATGGCGAGATGGGTAGGTGAGTGGATGGATGATGGAGGATGGATGGATGGACAGATGATGGATGCACAGATGATGGGTAGATGCGTGGATGGATGATGTATAAATAGATGAATAAATGATTGATGGATGGATGAATAGATGACAGATAGGTGAATAAATGATTGATGGATGGCTAGATAATAAGCAATTGGGAGGGTAGGCTAGGTGGACAGGACCAATAAGCAGATAAACCAACATAACCTTAAACCAAAATATTGGGAGATTGCATCCTTCAGGTGACTTCCATCGTGCTCTCAGGTGTTTAAAGCCTTTACCTCTCCTAAGCCTCATTCCTGTCCCAATCTCTCACAAGAAGATGAGGGGCAGTCCTTTGTCACTGCCCTACCTCCCTACCTACTCAAGGCCTTCTCCCAGAGTCCACAGGGGCCCAAAGTGGGTCCAGAAAGCCGATCACAAGAGCTTCTATCAACTCCAGACCTGAGGCTGAGAGCCCGAGGGAAAGGAAGAAGCATTTCCCCATGGATGAATGGATGGATGGATGGATGGATGAATAGATGATGGGATGGTTATATAAGTGGATGGATGATGGATGGATGGATGAATGGATGATGGGATGGGTATATAAGTGGATGGATGATGGATGGATGGATGAATGGATGATGGGATGAGTATATAAGTGGATGGATGATGGATGGATGGATGAATGGATGATGGGATGGGTATATAAATGGATGGATACATACAGTGCTCTATACAGTGTCCTTGTGTATGGGAGGGCTGTGCTGAGCCACCAGGCTGCTAGCTCACCCGCTCACTCGCTCACCCACTCCTTCTCTCATTTCCCTGCCTGCTCTTTAATGGACTCATCCGCTTACTCAAAAACTACTAATACCTCTGTGCAGGAAACTCAGGGAGACAGAAGGGAGGAGATGAACCTTCCAGGGCCCCAGGCTCAGAGATCTCAACCAGAGCTGAGACATCATCCCCATGACCGCGTCACCCTCTTCAGAGACGGGCTGGGCTATGGGAGCTCAAAGCAAGAGAAGAGCCTTCCGGCCGGCAGGGTGGAATTTGGTCTGCGACTCGACACCAGCCTCTGGCCCCATGGATGAGGGTGACAATGAGGATGGTGACGGTAACAAAAACACTCGGTACCGCCACGTGCCGAGCGCGGATGCGTGCCAGGGCTGCACTGCGCGCTGCACTGACTTGATCCCAATCAACCGTCACCCTGTAGTTGGAGCCACCGCTGGTGTCCCCCTTCCAAAGCTGGAGTCGAACAGCTCGAATAACCTGGCTGCTGCACAGTGGATGGAAAGCCTCGGTGTGTGTGGAGACCGCGCCTGGCAGAGGTCCGGGTCACCCGGAACGTCCACCCAGCATTCTGCTCCTGCGTCTCAAGGACGGCTCCAGCCATCCCTCACCTCCCTCGGGAGCCCTCCGGACGGCGCCCGCCTCAGTGCCCCGATCCCTCCACAGGGGCTTCCCTGACCGTGCCAGTCCATCTGACCACCAGAGTGCCCTGTGCTCTTGCCCGCACCACCCCCAGCCATACCTCGCCGGACGCCAAGCCACCCCAGGCGAGACTGAGTGTCTCCGGTCTCCCCAAGGCAAGGGCTCCCTGGGGTGCCAGGCCCCTGCTAGCGCCCCTTACGGGATCCCAGCCCCAGGCCTTCCAGACCCACCTCTTCTTTGTGGGAGTGGTCTCCGCCGGCCTCTTCTCTGGCAGGACGACAGGGTTCCCACCGGGGGCAGCGACTCTCCTGCCCATGAGAGGCACCATCTCCTTGGGGTAGGCATTCATGGCTGAAACATAACCACAGGGCAGATGCTCAGGCCGAGGGGACAGGGGGAGCTTCCAGAGCTTAGGACCGGCATGTGGCAGCATCCAGCTCCCAGTCACACTCCCTAGGACAAGAAGCTCACTTCTCCCTTCCCAGGTCACCAACTCTTCTTCAAGGACAGAGAAGCTGTCCCCAAAGCTTCTCCAGCTCCCTGCTCCAGCACCCCTAATGCTGTGGACCACCATGGTGATCCCGTAGAGACCCCCATGCCCCCACCCTCTCTCAAGACACCATCACCAGCCGACCAGTCCCCAGGTGGACTCCTGAGCACTAGCCCTGCTTTCTGAGGTCCCTCTCAGATTTTGTGTTCAGAGCAGCTCTCAAAGAGGTTTGACCTTCACAGAGCAAGATTATCACCTCCTTTGCTTTACATGTTATGCCCCTAATAACACAGCTTCAAGCTCCTCGGGTGTTTTGGATTCCCCAGTGCCCAGGTGGTCTCTACAGCCAACACAGCGATCATCTCCCCCACCCACCCAGAGCTTTATCGAATCAGCTGATAGCTGGCTGTCCATGAGACTTGCCTCTCACCTGCAGGGAGCAGCTGAGTCCCCCGGCCCCAGGTGGAGGAAGCCGACCCCTCAGTCCAGACATGCTTTTACTGATGCTCAGTATGGGCTGAGCTCAGAGGGGTGTGCAGACTGGGGAAGAGGGACCGATACATCTTCCAAAAAGACCTGGAGAGATCTTACAGGCTGTTGTGTGGACAAGAGGCAGGTGAGCAGAGGGCACAGCTTTGCGGGGTAGGGGGTGTCAGGAGTGTCAGGTGTGGCCGGAGAACCTGGGAGCTCACAGGGACCCTGCCAGCAAAAGGTGTGCAGGCAGGTTGGGCCTCATGAAGTCTTCAAACACCACATAAGAGCTGTGGCTTTAGCCAGACGCGGTGGCTCATGCCTGTAATCCCAGCACTTTGGGAGGCTGAGGTGGGCAGGTCACCTGAGCTCGGGAGTTCAAGACCAGCCTGGGTGACATAGTGAAACCCCATCTCTACTAAAATACAAAAAATTAGCTGGGCATGGTGGTGCACGCCTATAGTCCCAACTACTCAGGAGGCTGAGGCAGGAGAATTGCTTGAACCCAGGAGGTGGAGGCTGCAGTGAGTGGAGATTGTGCCGCTGCACTCCAGCCTGGGCCACAGCGCAAGACTCCGACTCAAAAAAATAAATAAAATTTTATTAAACATTTAAAAGGAGCTGTGGCTGACCCCCGGGGGCTGCTAGGAGTCAGGTGCTGGGGCTCAGGGGCTCTGGGTTACACAGGAGAGAGCAGGCTATGCTCGAGGGTGTGGGAGACCAGAAGCCAGGAGCCTGGAGGAGGCTGCCGCGGTGGTCATAGGGATGGGGAAGGGGGCAGCTGGCCACAGAGGGATGACATGGGCGGGGAAAGGGTTGTGTGAACAGGTGGTAACTCTGCAGTCGGGGGGTGCCATTCTCAGCTTGAGTCACCCTGAGGGAACTCGCCTGGAGACACACAGGTAGGGGCAGGAAGATGTATTCCTGTAAGAAGAAGCCAGCTGGGTGGGGTGGAACTGGGGCCACTGGTCATCCTACCCCAATAGGAAGGCTTCCTGGAGGAAGTGTCTGGAGCTGAGCCAGGTGTCAGCAGGCTGGAGAGAGTCCCCCGCCCTCCAACTCAAAGGGAGCAGGCCCAGGACGGGGGCGGCAGTGGCGAGGGGAGCTTGGGCCCTGAAGAGTGGGCACCCTGAGGCCGGGCAGGGGAACAGTCCTCGGGGAGGGAAAGCTGGGCACCAGCCCTGCCATGTCCAGTCCCGGCCTGATGAGGACGGGGCAGCCTCTGCAGCTTCCCCAGCCCCACGTGGCCTGTGGGGGACTGAAAGGCTGGGGTGCACCAAGCCAGGAGGCAGAGGACGGACGCGTCTCTTGCCCCTCTTTGGACCTCGGGTTTCCTTTCTAAGAAGTGGGCCAAAAGGTCCCCAAGGACTCCGTGGCTCTGCCAGCTGGTTGCTCTGTCCCTTCTCTGGGCCCACGAATGTGCACGGCCCCAGGCAGCTGGGGCAGGAGAGACACAGGGAACCCCGGACGAGGGCTGCGGCAGCTACCATTAGCTCCCTGAGTCACCCCATAAACCCTGCATTCTCACCTGCTGGACTCTCTCATGCCCTGACCCTCCCTCTCTCTCCCAGTCCCTGACACTGAAACGGCCTTTCCTGGGCGACAGAGCCACAGCTGCTGACTCAGCTCCTGTGAGATGCTGGCTGGTCCCTCTCCTGCTGTGGGCCACCTCCTCTCATCCCGAACTCCCATCACTCTCCTGCCCCAGAAAGCCACATCCCTGGGCTGGCCTGGGGAGCCAGGAGCCTCACCTCTGCCCCTCAACGGGGATGATACTGAGGTGTTCTCCCTCCCTCCCCAGGATTCCCAAACCTCAGAGAAACGTGCCTGAGTCCGTAGGGACCTGTATCCTCACACACCCCTACAGCCGAGAGCTCACGGCTTTGCTTTTCTTGCTGGGGCCGGAGCTCCTTCCAACCCTCCTCCCAAGGCCTATTGGCCAAGGGCACACACAGCCCAGAGGACCTCTGGGCTCCCCAGGGGCCTTGGAGATCAGCAGCTGCCTCGTGCAGGGAGGACTCACCTGGTGAGGTTCTGGGTGGTCGTGGCAACCCTTGCTCTGAGCTCACCGCATGTCCGGGGCCCAAGGCCCCCGGGTGGGACTGTGGCTGGGGCGACGGGAAGCTGTCATGGCAGGCAGAGGGATGGCTGGAATGAGGCGTCAGAGGCAGAACTGGCTGGGCCACCTGCCCTAGGCACCGGGCGGGCCATGCCCACAGCCACCCACGTGGCCTGTGTGAGTCACCCCCACACCCACACAGCAGCCTCACCCCCACCGGGGAAAAGGCAGGTGAGGCACCAGGTGTCAAGGCTGAAGTTCTGGGTCCACCTCGTCCTGCTCTGGCATTTGATGCTGGTCAGGTACATCCTGTCACAGGCCTCAGTTTTCCCAGCTAGGAAATGGGAATCATAATACCTGCTTTCCGAGGATGCCATGAAGAGGGGAAGAGATCACAGGGGTGGGAGGGCTTAGTGGAGGGTCAGCGCTCTGCTCTGTCCCCTGAGAGAGAATGCCTGGCTGACTTCAGGGCGCCTAGCCCCAGGACTCGGCCGTCGTCAGTTCCTGGATGACCAGGCTCGGTGGCTCACGCCTTTAATCCCAGCACTTTGAGAGGCTGAGGCAGGCTGATCACGAAGTCGCAAGTTCGAGACCAGCCTGACCAACATGATGAAACCCCGTCTCTACCAAATTTACAAAAACTAGCTGGCTTTGTGGTGGGCACCTGTAATCCCAGCTACTCGGGAGGCTAAGGCAGGAGAACCACTTGGACCCAGGAAGCAGAGGTTGCAGTGATCTGAGATTGTGCCACTGCACTCCAGCCAGGGAGACAGAGTGGGACTCCCTCTCAAAAAATAAGTCAGTTCCTGGGATGAGGCCTCTTGGGGACAGAAGTCCCCATTTAACGCTTTCCACTAGCAGCCACGCCTCACAGGCCTCAGTGTCCACCTCATCCCTTCCTGGCTGTCCGACCTTCACAAGTCATTTCTCTGAGCCTCAGTCTCCTCATCTGTGAAATGTGCTTCAGAAACCCACTTTGCGAGGTTTCCATGGAGCTTCAACAAGTGCAGGTAGGGAGAGAGATCCAAGATGGCTGATCACTAGCAGCTTGGGATTGTAGCTCCCACTGAATACGCAAAGAACGAGAGGACGCCATACCTTCACATGAATTCTTGTTGCTCACGCACCAGGAGATTCCCAGCGGAGGAGCCCCACGGGTCGCCAGCGCGACTCTTGTGACCGGCGAGGCGGTTTTGCCGGCGCCTCGGAGCGTCGGTTCTTGGTGCAGAGTCAGAAAGGCACCATCCATCTTAACGCCGCTGATTTGGTCAGCGCAGTGGGTTGCTCAGATTTCGGCGCTGAGAATCAATAAGTTGGACGTCCACTCAGAAACCCAATTACAAAGACGGTAATTATAAAGACCACAGATGGATAAATCTACAACGAAGGGAAGAAAACAGCCAAAAAAGGCTGAGAATACCCAAGATCAGAACGCCTCTCCCTCACCAGGGGATCCCAGTTCCTCATCAGCAACGAAACAAGGCTTGATGGAGAACGAGTGTGTTCCAATTACAGAAGCAGGCTTCAAAACGTGGATAATAAGAAACTCCTGTGAATTAAAAGAACTTATGCTAACACAATCTAAAGAAACTAAGAACTTTGAAAAAAGGTTTGACGAAATGTCAACAAGAATACAAAATTTAGAGAGGAAAATAAGTGAATTGATGGAACTGAAAAACACAATACGAGAACTACGTGAAGTATGCACAAGTTTTAACAGCCGAATTGATCAAGCAGAAGAAAGGATATCAGAGGTCAAAGACCAACTCAATGAAATAAAACAAGAAGACAAGATTAGAGAAAAAAGGATAAAAAGGAATGAGCAAAGTCTCCAAGAAATATGGGACTATGTGAAAAGACCTAATCTACGCTTGATAGGTGTACCTGAATGTGACGAAGAGAATGAATCCAAGCTGGAAAATATGCTTCAGGATATTATTCAGGAAAATTTTCCCAACTTAGTAAGGCAGGATAATATTCAACTCCAGGTAATACAGAGAACACCACAAAGATATTCCTCAAGAAGAGCAACTCCAAGGCACATAATCGTCAGATTCACCAGGGTTGAAATGAAGGAGAAAATACTAAGGGCAGCCAGAGAGAAAGGTCAGGTTACCCACAAAGGGAAGCCTATCAGACTTACAGCAGATCTCTCAGCAGAAACCCTACAAGCCAGAAGAGAGTGGGGACCAATATTCAACATCCTTAAAGAAAAGAACTTTCAACCAAGAATTTCACATCCAGCCAAACTAAGCTTCATAAGTGAAGGAAAAATAAAATTTTTTGTGAACAAGCAAGCATTCAGAGAATTCATCACCACCAGGCCTGCTTTACAAGAGCTTCTGAAAGAACCACTACACATAGAAAGGAACAAACAGTATCAGCCTTTCTAAAAAATACCAAAAAGTAAAAAACGTCAATATAATGAAGAATTTACATCAACTAATGGGCAAAATAGCCAGCTAATATTAAATGACAGTATTAAACTCACATATATCATTATCAATTCTAAATTTAAATTGACTAAATTCCTCAATTCAAAGACAAGCAATTTGGACAAAAAACTAAAACCATATGCTGCATCCAGACCCATCTCACATTCAAGGATACACAAAGACTCAAAACAAAGGATGGAGAGAGACTTACCAACCAACCAGAGAGCAAAAAATAAATAAAAAGCAGAAGTTACAATTTTTGCCTCTGATAAAATAGTATTTAAAGCAACAAAGATCAAAAGAAGCAAAGAAGGACATTATATAATGATAAAAGAATTAATGCAACAACAAGAAGAGTTAAAGGTCCTAAATATACACGCACCCAATACAGGAATACCCAGACATACAAGACTTATAAAGAGACTTAGACTCCCACACAATAATAGTGGGAGACTTCAACATTAATATTAGACAGATCAATGAGACAGAAAATTAATAACGATATCCAGGACTTGAACTCAGATCTGGAACAAGTAAACGTAATTAACATTTATAGAACTCTCCACTTTACACAAAATATACACTCTTATCAGTACCACATCATATCAACTTAGAAGTTTAAACGAAATGTTGGTTGGCTCCTTGTTTGTTACTCTCTTCCCTCATTTTCTTTCATGTCTCCATTATTAAGGACAATTATAGGCATACCTATATTTAGACTGCATTCTAGCCCGGGCAGCAAAGCAATACCCCCATTCTCTCTCCCTCTCCCTCTTTCTCTTTCTTCCTCTTCTTTATTCTTTTTATTATTCTTTAAAAAAAAAAAAAAAAAAAACAAGTGCAGGTAGAAAGGGCCAGAGCAGGCCAGGCGCAGTGGCTCACACCTGTAAGCCCAGCACCTTGGGAGGCCGGGGTGGGTGGATCACAAGGTCAGGAGTTCGAGACCAGCCTGACCAATGGTGAAACCTTGTCTCTACTAAAAATTCAAAAATAGCCTGGCAGGGTGGTGGGTGCCTATAATCCCAGCTACGGGAGGCTGAGGCAGGAGAATCACTTGAACCTGGGAGGCAGAGGTTGCTGTGAGCCAAGATTGAACCCCTGCACTCCAGCATGGGTGACAAAGTGAGACTCCATTTAAAAGAAAGAAAGAAGGAAGGAAGGAGGGAGGGAGGCAGGGAGGGAGGGACGAAAGGAAGGAAGGAAGGAGGGAGGGAGGGAGGGAAGCAAGAAAGGAAGGAAGAAAGGAAGAAAGGAAGGGAGGAAGGGTGAGCCAGAACAGGTCCAGTGCGTTGCAAGAACTCAGTGACCCACGTCTGCTCTTAGCTATCATCGTTTTTGTCGTCTTAATGTGTCCTCCCAGCCACTGCCAGGGCAGCCTGTCTCCAAGGCCAGAGCATGGCAGGAGGATGCTGCGCCCTCTCTCCCGGCCCAGGCTGCAGCTGCCAAGTGGGTGGAGCGAGGTCAGGATGGCCCTGTCTGCCTCTCGTCACTCAGGAACCGCACACCTGCTCCCCAGGGCAAGATGCAGGTAAGACCTGGCTGGGCCCCAGCAGGAAGTCCGTGCTGACGTGGCCGGAGCTGGCGCCTGACTGGGCAGGGAAATCCCCGGCCGTGAGCCTCTGAGCCTCTCATCATCATCACCTGCCCGGCCCAGGAGGTGGCCGGAGGCAGATCAGGCTCAGAGGCCACAGGAGAGCAGGACGTGCGGTCGGTAAGGGTGGATCGGGCCTGCAGGTGTGGGTGAAGCGGGAGACTCTGCTTCTGCCGTTGAGGTCGGGGGTCCTGAAGCTCCCACTCACCATTGCAATCTCATCACCACGCCTGAAACTCCAGGAAAGCCTGAGCTGGGGCTGAGCACAGCCTCGCACCCGGGTCCTCGCTCGCCCTCTCCCGACTCAGCCCCCGTCCTGGCTTGCCTCTGGCGGCTCCGGCGCCTGGGGACGAGGCTGCAGCCAGGTGTCAGTGCATCCGTTTTGCTTGTGTTTGTACCTTCTCTCAGAGGGCAGGTGGGAGCTGGTGAAAACGGCCAGTGTCTCCCACCCAGAGGTGCGCTCTATGCCCAGCGAGGAAGAAGGAGAGAGGCAACAGGAGCCAAGTCACCCCACGGAGCCACAGTCACTACTTAGGAAGCCCGAGCCCACCCCAGTCCCACCCCAAACACACGGGAGCAGCTGCTTTGGCCCCTTGGGTGGTCTGCAGGAAACCCCATTTGACGCATCAACCGAGAGAGCTCACAGGAGAGGCCGTGGCCAGAAGGCAGGCGGGCGATGAGGGATTCAGAACTGGAGAAGGCCATGTCCACCCTCCGGGGACGCGTGGCCATAGGGGACACAGGCTTAGGCAGGAACCGTGACCCACCAGGCAGGGATCAGGACAAAGATGGCTGAGACCCCCAGGCGGGAGGAAGTCCCTCTGATGGTGCAGTGGATGGACTCAGGAAAGAGAAGCTTCTGCGGACTTGGAAGGAGGGAGGAGGCCACAGGAGAGAGCCACGCCAGCAGCAGCTCAGAGGCCAGGCGACAGCGTGCTCCAGGAGCGGCGAGAG